AAACTGAGAATTTACTTGCTTGTGAATTAGAAAAATTCTGAGGTTGAAAAGTTTTGGGCATAGCCGGATCCAGGTGTTCAAACATGTCTTCAGGAATCACTTTGTCTCCATTGCTCCGCTCTGCTATCCTCTGTGATGGCTTCCCTCTAAGGCAGTCCCTCCCTTCATGATGTCAGAATGGCTCCCAAGAGCTCCAGTTTCCTACATTCACACCTGCATCTATACTCAGGTCTATACCTAACATCTACATCCATTTTCATATCCACAGCACATACAGCCACATCTATACCTACACCCATATCAACAGCTACGTCCACATTCACACCCACATCTACGACAATGCTTATAGAAAGAGAGTGCTTTTTCCCTAATTTTCCCAGCAAAACCCCAGGGCAGACTCTGCTTTGGATAGGATCACATACATACCTATAACTGAACCAACCACCGTTGGTTGTCAGGAGGACATGGAATTCCCTAATGAGTTGGTCCTGTATCAAGTTATCAATCCCTGAAGACAAGGGAGGGGTTAGCTCCCCAGAAGCCCCACTGAAGGCTGGGTTCCTAGGGAATATCCAGGCACGGTTATCAGAAGAGGGCTGGATGCTGAGGAAGCAAGAGCAAAAAATATTCATCGTGCCCAATTCTCAACTAGAATAATCACACAAATCACCTGGGCCTCATAATGTACGTTCTGATTTGGGAGGTGGGGCCTGAGGTTTCTCATTTCTAACAGCTCACATACGATGATGATGCTGGTTTCCATGCTGGCCGTGCTCCGAGTAGCCAGGCACTCTGTTACATTTCTAACTCACTTCGAGCCACTCTGTGGTCTCCACCCTGCAGAGAGGCCCTGGGTTATACAAACTTCTTCCCTCACCCTCTCCCCACCCCATCCCATGGTTCCAAAATCCAGCCAAACACCGGCATCACCTATTTGGGAAAAAGTGAAAGTCGCTCATTCCTGTCTGACTCTTTGCGACCCCATGGACTATATAGTCCATGGAATTCTCCAAGCCAGAATACTGGAGTGGGTAGCCTTTCCCTTCTCCAGGGGATCTTCCCAACCCAGGGATCGAACCCAGGTCTCTCACATTCCAGGCAGATTCTTTACCATCTGAGCCACCAGGGAAGCCCAAGAATACTGGAGTGGGTGGCCTATCCCTTCTCCAGCAGATCCTCCTGACCCAGGAATTGAGCTGGGGTCTCCTGCATTGCAGGTGGATTCTTTACTGAGCTATCAGGGAAGCCCATTTGGGAACCACTTGTCAACATATAAGGGTTTCCCTTGTGGCTCAGCTGGTAAAGAATCTGCCTCCGATGCCGGGGACCTGCCTCCGATGCCGGGGACCTGGGTTCAATCCCTGGGTTGGGAAGATCCTATGAAGAAGGGAAAGGCGACCCACTCCAGTATTCTGGCCTGGAGAGTTCCATGGACTGTATAGTCCATGGGATCACAAAGAGTCGTCCATGATTGGACTTTTTTTTTTTTTTTTCATTTTGTCAGCATATTGACAAAGTGAGCGACTTTCACTTGTCAGCATATTGCAGACTCAGCTGTCAAATCACTGTCCCCTGTGTTCTTTGGTAACCTTTATAAGAGGACCCACATAATAATTCTTTTTTGAATTTAGTGCTCAAAAAAATGTGTTTCTGTCAGTAAATTGCCATGCTTCCCGGGTTTTATGTTAACAATGTACAATTTCCTGTTTCATCTTGGCTAGTAGGAAGCTCAGAGATAAATCTAGTACCCAATGGCAGAAACAGTAGCACCCCAGGCTTCTGATTCAATCATCTTTCCTTTCAAATGGTGCAACAGAACCCTTTTTGAGTTTTGAAGTGCTCTGTACATGGTTTATTGTCATAAGCTCCCTCAAATTCTCTTTGAAAGACAGTGCTTCTATGAAACATTCTTGGATTTCCCCAAATCTTTATTGAAATCCCTCCCTCTCTTCAAAATTCAACTCATTATCCTGCCGCTCAATTATTATACACAGGTTGTTTTTACTATGAACAAAGTAACATATATATGTTAGTGAAAGAACCTGGATATGTATTAGATTCACAAAATGGCTTGATATTATATATGTCTTGCAGGTTGTTTTTCTCACTCAACAAGTATTTTAGAAGTCTTTGCATGGCTCTGACTGTCTTTGCCAATACCTCACAGCTCCTTGGGAACATAATTTTGAACGTAATTTTGTGTGTCTAGTCTTTACATCCCAGCTGGAGCAGGAGCCAGGTCCAGATGCCTTTATCTTCAACTGACTCCAGAAAGCATGGGCTCTGGGCACACATTTACTCACTGACCATGTGATATGTGACCATGTGACACTCCTACTGTGTGCCAGCAAGGTGCTGAGTTGAGCACCAAGGCACACAGACATGAGCAGGACCCGTCTCTGGGGTGCTGCTGTGATGGCAATGTTCTATATCTGCACTGCTGAGTAGATAGCTTCAGCCACAGATAGCTCTCTCTTTTTAATATTTATTTCTTTCTTTGGTCGGGTCTTAGTTGCAGCATGCAAGATCTTAGTGGTAGCATGCGAGGATCTTCAGCTGTGACATGTGGGATCCAGTTCCCTGGCCAGGATTCCAACCCAGGCCCCCGTGCATTGGGAGCACAGTGTCTTAGCCACTGTGGACTTGGACCACAAGGGAAGTCCTCACAGACAGCTCTTGAGCACATGAAACATGGCAAGTCCTAGCTGAGATGTGCTGTACATGTAAAACACACACTGAGATATGAAGACTCAACATGAAAAAAATATATATAAAGTATCTCATTGATCATTTTATGTTGATCACATTAATAATTTTGACATATTGGGAAAAGTAAATACATCTTAAAATTAATTCCCTTGTTTACCTTGAAAAAACACGGCTATGGAAAATTTTAAATTATATACATGGCTCACATTACATTGCTGTGTCTAGTGGTCATGAAAAAGAGCATTTCAGAGGCCACTCCAAGCCAAGCAGTGGAGTGGTTTTCTTGGTTTGGGGGAAATCACATTTTATGCAAATTTGACTCTTGCCCATATACCACTTAAAAAAATACTTCATTGTGCAAAAATTGAACTAACAGGAATTCCCTATTTTAAGAAATTAACTTCTCAAGTATTGTCTCTAAACTTGAGGGCCAAAGGACTTGCAAACAGTGTTCCCCCAGGGCAGGGCCACATCTGCCAGTAAATGGAAATGATATGATTAGCACTTCTATACAACTTACTGTGTGGCAGACGCCTTCAGACTTCCAACTCACTCTGTCACCACCACCCTGGATCATGTGTTTATGTGTTAGGAGACCTGCTCCTCAAGACCCTGTGGCCACATTGAATATGTAAGTTGACGATGTAAGGAATACCAAATACATGCTCAGAGAGGTGGAGGGAGCTGCCCTACCTCCCACAGCCATCCTCTTCCCAGATCACCCTTAACTTAATCAATATATATGAAATGGAATATGATTTTCTGTCATACAAAACCTCACAATAAGCTGTTTTATTTCCCACAACTGTAATACATATTTATCACAAGCCAGAGAGGTGTTGGTTTTCATTTTCAGTTCATATGAGTACGTTATAAAACAGTGATTAATTGCAATAATTTTTCAAATTAATGATCCAGCGCTCCAGGAGTCTGGATCAGTTCCTTACTTTATTCAGAAAAGGAGAATGAAGCAGAAACCGCTTAAGTCTTAAGGTGGTAAACTGTTCCCAACTCCCACCAGGACAGACAAAAACATCCTTGTAAATGAAAAGAATCTTTTAAAAAAATAAGTAAATAATTCCCATAAACCTAGGAATTTGGGTTTTTTCCTTAAGCCACAAACACATGTTCATTCTAACAAGATAAGTATAACTGCTTTAGAAGAAAATTGCAATTGTGCAGAGATGAGGAAAACAATTACTTCCTTATGTGACTTCTCAGCAAACACGGGCACATTTTGAGAAAAGAATAAAAGGTTTCTACCACTTTAATGATGAAGTTTTGACTCTGATCAGATCAATGTGTTTTCTTTAAGTGTCTTTAAATTTTATAAATCCATCAGCAAAGTCCATCAGCTCTACCTCCAAAATATCTAAGTTGATAATGCAAGGGATACCAAAATGTCTCCTGACCCTTTCTGTTCCTTATCCCCTCAGTAGCCACCACCCCAGGCCAGGCCACCATCAAGCATCTCGAGCCTGGACTTCTGACCTATTCTCCAAAGGCGGTACTCCACCGATCAGCGGAACAGCTGACAGGGTTATTTAAAGTGTAGATTGACTCCTGTCATCCTTCTACATGAAACTTTTCCTGGTTTCCCATCAGCCTTAGAATGCATCCAAATCCCTCACCACTGTGAAGATGGGGCAGCCTCGTGGTGTACTCTGCTCCCTCCTGCCTGTGATCTCTAGCCACACTGGCCTCCTTTCAGTGCCTGATTCTCTTCAAGCACATTCCAGCCTCAGGGCCTTTGCACTCACTGTTTGCACTCACCTGCTGGGAACACTGTTCCCTCAGAGTGTTACATAACTGACTCCTTTGTGTCAGTTGGGCCCCAGGTCCAACATCACCTCCTGAGAAAGTCCTTCCCCAACCACCCTGTCTAAAGAGGCCCCACATGGTTGTTCCCTGTCAGCATCCTCTTTGAGCATCCTCACACGTTTCACTAAGTAAATTTATCCTGTTAATTATTTGCTACCTGTTCTTTATCTGTGTCTCCCATCCATCTCCAGGGTGAGCTCCAATAGGGGTGTGAACTTGCTTGTCTTAGTCATGATTTAGCAAAGTGCTCAGTAGGGAATTCCCTGGTAGTCCAGGGGTTTGATCCCACGCCTCCACTGCAGGGGGCACAGGTTCAATCTCTAACTGGGGAACTAAGATCCTATGTGCCATGTGGTGCGGCCAAAACAAATACATAAATAAAAATGTAAAGAAAGAAAAGTGCTCAGTAAATGTTTACTCAGTAAATGAATGAATGAATGAATGATCAAATAAATCCATGAGAGAAAGAAGGGAAGGAAGTAAAAGAGGGAGGGAGGGAGGAAGGAAGGAAGCCTTTACAAGGCAATTATAAAGTGATATGAGGGGATGGTGACTTGATTGTTTGAGCCACATTATGTGACCTGGTCTCTATCATTTAGTATAAAATATTAACTTATTATATATGAGAGTATAGTCTTACTGTTGGCTCGGAGCCTGACTCTAGACTATTTCCCCACCCACGTACTTTCTCACCCTCCCAACACCCTGAGAGTAGGCTGCATTATTATCCCCATTTCGCTGATGAGGAACTGAGACTCGGGAGCAGGGGGAGTGATACGAGAGCAGTTGGTGTGGGGGCGGGGGGAGGGACCAAGCATCAGCTCAGGCTTTCTGACCCCAGAGTGTGTTGAATTTCAATGATCATCACGATTTATTCTCTTAATAAACTTCCTGTCGCCGGGGTCCTTGGTAGCATGACTTTGACAACTTGTCAGCTCTGTGTGGGTGCGTGGCAGACGTGGATATGGGGAAGTCCAGAGATGACAAGGGGAGAGTGAGCTCCATTAGGTGAGGGTGAGGTAGGGGTCTGACACGGGGAGGGGAGCCAGCCTGGCAACAGGGTGTCTCAAGCCCAGCATCAAAGACTCCCCCTTGTGGGAATCAGAGCAAGCTGGTCTCATTTCCCTTCTCTCTACCGCAGGATGGGGTGCGTGAAGTCCAAGTTCCTCCGGAACGGAGGCAAGGTCTCAAAAACCGAGCCCAACACCAACCCACACAACCCCGTGTATGTGCCGGATCCCACGTCCTCGGGCAAGCGGGTGAGTGGGGGACGAAAGGGGACACCGGCGGCTATCGGGGCTGCCCCATGCTGCCCCAAACTGCTCTCACAATTCCCTGTTCTCCCAAGGGTGAGCAGGGTGAGTCTGGGGTGAAATGGAGCTGACCGGTCACCAGCAGCGCCCTGACTCCCCAGGATATGCCAGCACCGAGCACCTGGGGCAAGGGCATCACTGCTTCTTGTCCCGCTGCCCAGGCCTTGGCCCCTCAGCCTGGGTGACCACGTCCCAGGGGGTATGGCCGGCCTTCCCACCTGGGCAGTACCAGGAATCAGTGCTGAGGGTAATGAGCGAGCAGCTTAGTCACAACAGCAGTTGAAGAAATGACGGTAATGATGACAGCATCAGTATCATGGCGATAACTGTAACGACAATGGTAGTAATAATAGTAACAACAATACTAGTGGGAGTATAATAGCAATGGAGGTAGGAACTACAGCACAGAGTTGATGAGAGACGTGGTAATACTAGCAGAGGTATCTGCTCACTTCGGCTACACTTATATACAGAGCTTACGATGAACCAAGTACCATCCTAAGTGCAAGACGATTATTAACACCTTTAATCCTCACAATAGTGCTCTTGTGGGCCGCAAGTTGTTTTGTACCCATTTTAGAGACGAGATGCAGACATTAAATGACATGCTGAAGGCTACATGGTCAGTAGGGATTCAAACTCAGCACATGTTCCGGTGTCCCAGAGGTAGGAACAAAGTAACAGAGGCAGAGCCAACTGCTAGTGACAGGAGCAGGAGTCATGTGGCATTAGTGGGGGCCCTGGGGCAGTAGTTGCCACAGAAGTCACCCTACTAGTCATGGTAGTTGTGGTGGTTCAAAGAGCAGTAACAATAGCGATAGTGGTGGTTACAGTAATAGTACTAGTAACGGGGCTGACAGTACTGCTACTGCTATTAAGAGCAGCAGTAACAGTTGTCATGAGCATTACTGTTCTTTGAAAAATCTCCTATGGTCTGGGCACTGCAGTGAGCTGTTTCTGTATCATTAATGCTCACCGAAAGCCGTGAGGCTGGAGTTAATGCTTCTTATAGCCAGGGTGACAGAGGCTCAAAGTTAAAAGGCTCCCTAGGCTCATGGTGCTGGGAGGCAGCAGAGATGGGTCGTTCTAAACGCAACGCTGGGGTTCTCTCTCCTCTAGGGTCCTTCTGTCCATCCCCTTATCTGAAGCTTTTCCGGCAAGCACAGCCTCCAGAGGCAGGGGTGCACTTCTTCCTGGGGCTCCTTAGAAAGTTCTCCCTCGTGTTGAAGGGAGGCCTGTTACCCCATAACCCTTACTCCTGGATCCTATACCACCCCCCTCAGTCCTGCCCCAAACACACCCACTACCTCTGCTCCGTGAGAGCTTGTAGAGATGGATGGCAAAGATCTTATCCCAACCCACCCTTTCCTTCCAAATCATCTTTCACACAACATGGGCTCCTGGTCTCTCTTTACTTGCTTGCCCTTCTCCAGGCTTGATGCCTAGAACAGGACTAATTTTGGAAACGGGAGAAGAGGGGAATGGCCACCTCCCGTCTTCTGACACTTGACCTCCATTAATACAACCTGAGTTTACAAGAACTTCCCACACTGGTGATGTCCTGAGGTGACATCCTAAACCCTAAGTCCCTCCCAAGTCAGCTTCTCTCCTAACTTGCGTGCCCCGGGGCCCTTTCTGTGGCCAGGGCTCCAGAGTCTCAGGTTCTCTGAGATCCCCTGACTTGTCCCCAGGGGGAAGTAGAGGTTTTCTTTCTCCCACCAGTTTTTGCCTGTTCTCTCTGAACATCAAGTTTAAAGGACATTATTATCAGCCATTCATTGCTCTGCTCATGCGGAACTTTGATTTAGCAGTAATGTAATAATTGAGAAAGGATTTCCAGGTCAAATCAGCTTGCAAAACACTGGGCCACACACTCCTTTCTGTAGGACTTCCCAGAGCCTTTATGAATCTTTGTAATGGGCTTTATACATCTCCCCAAAAAGGGTATACTTACTGTTTCCCAAACTTGTTTTTTTTAATTAGTATTTACTTACATGTGTGACACACAAGTTCATTCTCTTTGAAAATAAAAATCACAAATTACAGTTAAAACTACAGTGTCTGCTGACCAATGCCCTCCTCCCTAGAAATACCACACCCCAGCCCAGAGGTAACAGCTGTTGTCAGTTTAGCAGGGAACCTTGCAAACCTCCTTCCATGAATTTACTCACAGTTGTACAGTATGTGTCCACAGAAATTGTTTAGGCTCTGTGAGTATGTGTTTTATACCAGCGTATCATTTTTACCATTCTGAAGAACTAGCTTTGTTTACTCAACAATGTACCTTTGAGGTCTCTCTGTGTCAGGAATGAAGTGGCCTCCCTCCTATAAGAGCTGCTTAGAGCAGCTCCCTTAATTTGGTGCCGATTCCCCCTTGGATGGACGCTAGGTTTTCTGTAGTGAAGCCTTTATTCATGGGCCTGCTGGTAGACCTAGGATTTCTTCAGACTTGGAAAACTCTGATCTGGACCAACCCCCCTCACTGTATGTTGAGGGGAAGGGACAAATCAGTGTCCCCCAGTAAGTCTAAGGCAGAGCCTACAACCCTAGAGCTCTGCATCTTTGTGCTAGCTGTGCCCCTAACGTGCTGTGTTACCTGGGGTACTTCCCCAGCCCTCTCTGGGCCTCCTCCCATGACACATGGGGTTGGGATATCCTTTTTTGACACAAACCTTCCATGTCTCCACACACACTGTTGGATTCATTCTCTTCTCCCGTTTCTTCCCCACAGTGGCCTGACAGTAGCAATGGCAACCCGCCAGGGTCCACAGAGGGTAAGTAACTGGCAGGCACGTGCAGTGGAGTCTGGTGATTGTAGAGGATTAGGTTAGGTGCTTGGTGAGAACCTAAGGCAAAAAATCCAAAACAGTCAAAACCGCCCTTGAAAATCCCCTAATTTGCCCCCAAAGTACTTAGTACAGGCCACTGTGTTTCTATAGCGCTATTTCACAGCATGACCATAACTTCATTAGCTTTGAACTCAAGAATGCACTATGGCAAGATGCTTACTTGTATCATGAACAGACACATCAAGGGGTCCAGGGCTGGGTGCCAGGTGTTGGGGTGGGAAATACCCAGGGCTGTGGGTGTGCTCAGATAAAGCCTCACCATCCCGTGTGTCTCCCCTCCCAACAGGTTCTGAGGATATCATTGTGGTTGCCCTGTATGATTATGATGCCATTCACCATGAAGACCTCAGTTTCCAAAAGGGGGACCAGATGGTGGTCCTGGAGGAGTGAGTCCCCATCCCACACCCCCTAAGACATAGCTATCTCCAATACTCAATTTTGCTTTCTTTTGTGTTTCAGTAGAGAACCTGATGGGCTATATTATACTAAAGTGTAAATGACTGATGAGAATGTGATCATAAAAAAGGAAGAAGGGTTTCCTTTAACCTGGGTTTTAGCCACAGTAAAGGGGTTTGTGTGCTTGCTAATGGTGCACATCCAGGCAAGGATGGACAGCTGACAGTGCTTTCCTAGGGAAGCCTTCCTTGGACTCCTATGATTAAGTGGCAGGCTTACCTACAGAGCAGACCCTGTTGAGGTGGCTTTGCATTCAGATCTGTGGATCTCTGAGTTTGCTACCTCCAATCTCCTATAATCCTCACCATCACTAGACGTAGTGTCTAATATGTGCTGGGACTGCTTATGCTTGGTCAGACTCCAGAGCCCAGTCCCTCTGGCCAGCAAGCCACTGTGAGTCTGCCACGGGCACAGGGCCCTGCCTAATATATAGTTAGTAAGGTCAAGGCCACAAGTCAAGGGAATGAGAATAAGGCCAGAGATCTAGGACTGTGGGCTATGAATGTAGGGACAGGGCTTGATTCCAGCCCCGGGGTTGTTGTAAAGATATTTGCCTTCATCACGGGGTGCAGGCTGGGGGCTGGGACGGTGGTGGCCCTGCCCTTTACCCTACCCGCCTCCTGTTGTTGGGGGTATTCTAGGCCACGGCTGAGGGGTTGACCCCTTTGCTCTCTTCTGCCCCCCAGGTCTGGGGAGTGGTGGAGAGCGCGATCTCTGGCCACCCGGAAAGAGGGCTACATCCCAAGCAACTACGTCGCCCGTGTCAACTCTCTGGAGACAGAGGAGTGAGTATTCCATCTCCCTGCCCTGCAGAAGCAAGCATGAGCTGAGCCGGCCTTGCTTCCACCTCAGGGCCTTTGCGTTCACTGTCTCCCCTGCCTGGCACACTCTTCCTGGACCTCTTTGCCTGTCTGGCTCCTTCTCATCCTTTGGGTCTCAGAGAGGCCTTCCCTGGCCACTTAGTCTCAAGCAGGTCCCCACTGTGATTCTGTGTGACTCCCTGCTTTACTTCTTCTGAACACTTCTCACTAGCAAAAACAATCTTGTTTCTTTGGTTGTCCCCAGTTCACTGTCTGCCTCCCCCCACTAGAATGGGAGCACAGGAGGGTAGGGACATGGTCTGTCCTCTGCTGCATCCTGCAGCCTTCACACAGGCTGGCACGCAGTTTGTGCTCAATGCATATTTGTTGGATGAAGTCTAACAGTTGTGCCAAGGAGGGTCCTCTGAGAGGCGAGCCAGCCCACACCCCTCACATGACTCGTTCAGCCCGCCTGTTCCTGCGCCTCACTGAGCCCTGTGCCAACTGGAGGCCACAGAGCCAATGAGACATCCTCCACCCTCAAGATCGCTGTAACCCCTCATTCTTTACTGCGGGCTGTTTGTGTCTACCTTGACTCAGAAAACAGACAGTTGTACTTCATCCTTCCATCCATCCATCCACCCAATCAGCCCACAGACCCTTGAGCATCCACTGAACTCCCAGCTCTATTCCAGGAATACTAGGTGACTCAGGCAGGCTTCCTCCCTGGAGATATTCACAGTGTGGGGGGTGACCCTGACAAGTAAGAAGATGGCCACACTATCAGGTGGCAATAGATGCAATTCAGAATCAGCCAATCAAAAAGTCAAAACCTGACGGTCACCATGGTTTTATCTCCTTTGCCTCCTCCCCCTGGCTAGATGGTGTTGAGGGTTTGGGATGCTTACCTGTTAAAACGGGCTTTTCCTATCTTAAAGTCACCCCTTTCTTAGGGCACAGGAAACTTCTTCGCCCTGTGAAATCTCCCCTCTGTGGCCGTGAGGAAGCCCTCACTCCCAGCCCTGACCCTTCTGTCCTGGAATGCCCCCAGCACGTGCCCTACATGCTGCGGGGGGTGGGGTGGCTGCTTCTCCGTCCTTCTAGGCTTTCTCCCGGGGCATCAGTGCTCTGCCCCCCTGCTCCAGGCTCTGAACACTTAGAGACTTCCTGCACCATTCCTCACCTTGCAGCAGCCTTGAAGCAGGCATGGCTGGTATTACTCCTTAAAGCAATATAACTGCTGAGTGGAAAAGGCCAGGCGCAGAGGATAGACATGGTGGGTTATCATTTGGCCCATAACTTAATGGCTGGTTCTCAGCCTTGAGCGCATCAGCATCACCTAGAGGGTTAGTTAAAACGCTGGTTTCTGAGCCCCACTCCTCAACTGTCCAATTCGTAACTGGAATTTCTAACAAGTTCTCAGGTGAGGTGGATGCTGCTGGTCCAGGGACCCACCTTGAGAACCACTGACCTGAATACCCATATGAGTCTTGAACTCCCGGGCTCTTGTGTCCCCATCAAGAGACTGCTCACAGAGGCTGCCTCTGAAGAGAGCAGCTGGGGCCGGGAAATCAGCGTGGGATGGAACCTTACTTCCTCATCTGCCTTGAAATAGGCAGTATTTTCAAATGTTTCAAAATGCAAATGGTACAGAAGGACAGACTAAAGAGTGAATAGTCTTCCCCCAACTCCATCCCCAGCCAGCTACTTCCCTTCCAGAAGCAACCAGTTTCCTGTAAGTCCTCCCAAATGCTTTATACTTGATTAAGAAACTACATATATCTTCCTCCAATTTTTTAAAAAATCAGAGTACAGCTGATTTAGAATGTTGTGTTAGTTTCAACTGTACAGGAAAGTGAATCCATTATACATATAGATAAATCCACTCTTTTTTAGACTCTTTTCCCATAGAGGTCATTATAAATATTAAATATAGTTCCCTGGGCTATAGGTCCCTATTGGTTATCTATTTTATATATAGCAGTATGTATATGTCAATCTCAGTCTCCCAATTTATCCCTCTTCTCCCCTTTCCCCCTGGTAACCATGTTTGTTTTCTACATCTGTGACACTATTTGTTTCGTAAGTTCACTTGCATCATTTTTTTAGATTCCACATGTAAGTGAATATCATTCGATATTTGTCTTTCCCTTCCTGACTTACTTCACTTAGTATAAGAATCTCTAGGTTCGTCCATGTTGCTGCAAATGGCATTGTTTTATTCTATCTTATGGCTAATATTCCACTATCATGTCTGTGGTGGCTCAGCGGTAAAGAATCCACCTGTAATGCAGGAGATACAGGTTTGACCCCTGGGTTGGGAAAATCCCCTGGAGAAGGAAATAACTTCCCACTCTAGTATTCTTGCCTGAGAAATCCCATGGGCAGAGGAGCCTGGTGGGCTACAGTCTGTGGGGTCACAAAAGAGTCAAACACAACTTCATGACTAACCAGTAACAACAATGTTTCATTGGATATAAGTGCCACAACTTCTTCATCCATTCATCTACTGATGGACATTGAGGCTGTTTCTGTGTCTTGGCTATTGTGAACAATGCTGCAAAGAATATTGTCTCTCTCCGTCTTACACAAGTGGCAGCTTCTATGCTGTATTCTTCCACCCCCTTTGTTCAGATCTTCAAGGCAGTGCCGACAGTGCCTCCTTTTCACAGTTGCTGTGTCTGTTATCTAGATGCCCCAGCATCCCTCATCAGTGGTCACTGTTTCCAGTCTCACGCTGCCTTGAGTCTCCTTCTGTATATGTCATTTCTTCCTGTGCAAAATCGGTGGGATAACTTCCTAGGGGTGGGATTTCCAGGGAGACAGCTCTTCCTGTGTACCCTTTAACATTGCTTGAACACTTTATCATGGCTTGAATCACTTTACCAAATGAAAGCAAGGAAGGCAGGGGTGTTGCATGGTATTTAAGATTTTTGGCTCTGGAGTTAGACTGCCTGACTTTGAATCCTGCCTCCACCACTTACTAGCTGTGTGATGCCAGGCAAGTTACTTGCTCTTTCTGTTTCTCAGCTTCCTCATCTGTAAAATGGGGATAATAAAGGCAAAGATTCCATAGAGTTGGGTGGATAACAAGAGCTTGATAAATGGTAACTGCCTCTTTCCCCAGTTGATAGCAGAGGAAACAGAAGTCCATAGAAGAAAAGCAATGTGCTCCAAGTCACACATAGGTTTGTGGCAGGGTCAAGGCCAGCTGACCTCTGGTCTGGGGCTTTTTCCATCACAGCGCATGAACCACTCCTCGGGGAATAAATTTGGTTTCTGCTGCTTAAAGTTTTCCTTAGATTTTTTGGGTAATCTAAAGATCCCAAATAGTCAAGGAGGATGAAGAAAGGTGCAAGGATGTGGTCCCAAGTATAAAATTATTTGAAATCTCACATTTGAGCTTAGAAATTCATGCTGATGTCATATTCAACTCTGTATCTACACAGGAAGATGAACTGTGATGGTGACAGTGCTCAGCCCTCACTCACATGGGCCTCTAAGATCCTGAGAGGTTGATCAAATGTTCTAGAGAAATCTGCAAAAGGAAGATTTTTGACCGCAGTTGGTTAAGACTGATGTATTTTTCCACCCAGTCTTTTTGCTCATCACCTTATACCTCGCATTGGGTGGCACTGGAAATACCAGCAACATTTTGTATTAATATTTATAATGCTGTATTATTTTTCTTAAAGAAAGCTCCCCCAGCCTGCCAAAAATAAGCTCCCCAAATTGCATGCTTCAGCCTTAGCAAACTGGATTCACCTGTGGTAAAATGTCTGTTTTAATATCAAAAGAATGATTGCTTTCCCCCCAAAGAATCTTTGAGTAAAACTGACACCAGAGGAATGCAGGCCCTTGGAGTCCTGATGCCAGGCGAGATTGCTGAGAGTCGGACAGCACTGCCCGCCACGGGCTTACACACTGCCCCTTCCCCTCCCTCCAGGTGGTTCTTCAAGGGCATCAGCCGAAAAGATGCAGAGCGCCAGCTCCTGGCCCCTGGCAACGTGCTGGGCTCCTTCATGATCCGGGACAGCGAGACCACCAAAGGTGAGGCTGGTCCTCCTAGCCCTGTGTTTCCACCCCACCACACAGGGGAGCCCCAGACGTGACCGGACACCATCCTTCCCTTGGGGTATGCCATTGTCTGGACAACTCACCCAGCCCCCCTCCCTGGGCTGCCAGGCTTCCTTCTGCTCTTTGTTCAAACCTTCTCAGCCCCCAGACCTGCCAACTTAGGTCAGTGGAAGTAAGATGCAGTGGTTACTGCCCTGAAGAACAACCACTTGCTGAACTTGATCTTCATTAGCTTGGATTCTTTTAAATACCCATCAGAATGTATCTTGCCCACAAGCCTGACTCCTCTCTCCTTCCATAAGGAAATGAGATGGGCTCGGGCTGTAGCAAGAGCCCCCCAGCCAGCCTTGTCTGGGACCCTGTTTCAAATAACTCTTTTGAGGTATTTGGATGTTTTGATGTCGGTGACCTGCTTCCTGAAACTTCCGTGCCGTGAGGGTGGCTTTGTGCCCGGTCATCACACAGGAGGCAAGAGCAGCGCCCCAAACAACAAATAACTCAAACTGGCATCGACTAGGGCCAGTTTTGCCAAAGGGATGATTGTAAGTAGGAGTCCTGTGATTTCACATTTCACACACAGTGTGTGCCTTTACTACTGTGTTTAGATTCAAAACTGCTTGGTTCAGAGAAACCAGTAAATTGTATAAAATGTGACCTCACAGTACCCTGGACAATCAGTTCGGGGCCCTTCTACCTGCCCTCTTTTCTGAACTGGGGAAGCCTAAATGTGGCTAAAACAGCACTCACCATCTGTGTTTCAGGTCAGGGGATGTTTGGGCTTTATTTCCTCCCACCCAACAAACTCCCTACCAGCCTCCAGAGGAAAAGAAATGGTACAAAAAGATAAAGCCGTACACAGCCCTTGGTTTCTCTCCTTCCTCCGGGCTATCCTGCACACACCGGCAGGAAGGTGAGCCTGGCCACTACCACAGCCCTCAGACGGGGCCAAAGTGGGTTCACTGAATTACTAAACTTGTAATACAAGTGCCCTGAGTCCCATCCTGCTGCTTCCTGGGTTCCACCCTTCCCCACTCAGCGTCAGCCAAGTCAGCCTCCCCTTGACTGGGCAGAGTGGTTAAGAATGTGGTTCCAGCTGCCTCGGTTTGAAGCCTAGCTCTGCTACTTACAGGCTGTGTGACTGCAGGTTAGGTACTTCATCTCCCTGGACCTCAGTCTCTTTATGTAAAACTTGTGGTGATACAAAACCTCTACCTTGTGGGGTCATTCATTCACTGTAATGAATAATATAGCTTATTATAATGCATATAACTATAGTCCATTATAATGAATATTATTTCTATCCATTCATCGCTTATTATTTATTATTCCTATTCATTCATTGTCAAGAGCCAACTCATTTGAAAAGATCCTGATGCTGGGAAAGACTGAGGGCAGGAGGAGAAGGGGGTGACAGAGGATGAGATAGTTGGATGGCATCATCGACTCAATGGACATGAGTTTGAGCAAACTCCAGGAGATAGTGAAGGACGGAAGCCTGGCATGCTGCAGTTCATGGGGTTGCAAAGAGTTGGACATGACTGAGCAACCAAACAACAGATATTAAAGAATCCGCCTGCAATGTGGGAGACCTGGGTTCGATCTCTGGGTCATGAAGATTCCCTGGATGAGGGCATGGCACCCACTCCAGTGTTCTTGCCTGGAGAATCCCCATGAACAGAGGAGCCTGGTGGGCTACAGTCCATGGGTTCACAAAGAGTTGCACATGACTGAGCGACTAAGCACAGCGCAGCCTAGCATGCATGAAAATTGATCAGTCGTGTCCAACTCTTTCTGACCCATGGACTGTACCCCATCCAGGCTCCTCTGTCCATGGAATTCTCCAGGCAGGAATACTGGAGTGGGTAGCCATTCCCTTCTCCAGGGGATCTTCCCGACCCAGGGATCAAACTTGGGTCTCCTCCATTGCAGGCAGATTCTTTACCATCTGAGGCACCAGGGAAGCCCCAGCATGTATGGTCAACTGTAATTCATGCAACAATTTAAACCTCCCCCAAATCCTATGACATGGTGCTATTGTGGTGGAGAAAACTAAGAGAGGGAGAAGCTAATAACTTGCCCAAGGACGCACAGCTCACAAACAGCAGAACCATGGCCACGGACTGAAAAAAGTATGTGTTTCTTGTCTGTGTGAATCCAGGATACTTCTCCATTGCCAGCTCGACTGAATCACATCTGCAGAATCCCTTTACCACGTGAGGTGATGCACGCACAGGTGTCAGGGATTAGGACATGGCATTGTGGGGGGCCATGACTCAGCCTGCCACAACATTTAATATGGACACTTACATTTCATTGTTTATATTGTAATAGTTGAACTGGATTGGTTTGTTTGTTTAATCTTTTTGCTTGTTTGCTTCTAAACAGCCTTTTATTTTCAGAATTAATGTTTATTTGTATTTAAATAACCTATGGATATACCCGTACTGCTTTCACTGTAAAATCATCTATTTTTATTTTTTAAATTAACTAATTTATTTTGATTGGAGGATAATTACTTTACAATACTGCTATGGTTTTTGCCATACATCAACATGAATCAGCCACAGGTGTACACGTGTCCCCCACATCCTGAACCCCCCTCCCACCTCTCTCCCCACCCTTTTCCTCTGGGTGGTCCCAGAGCACTGACTTTGGGTACCCTACTTCCTGCATTGAACTTGCACTGGTCAGCTGTTTTACATATGGAAGCATAATGTACATGCTTCCATGCTATTCTCTCAAATCATCCCACCCTCACCTTCTCCCACTGAGTTCTAAAGTGTGTTCTTTAAATCTGTGTCTCCTTTGCTGCCCTGAATTTAGGATCATCAGCACCATTTTTCTAAATTCCATATATATGTGTTAATATATAGTATTTGTCTTTCTCTTTCTGACTTACTTCAGTCTGTATAATAGGCTCCCGATCCACCTCATTAGAACTGACTCAAATGCATTCCTTTTTATAGCTGAGTAATGGTCCACTGTGTATATATACCACAACTTCCTTATCCATTCATCTGCCGATGGGCATCTAGGTTGCTGTTGTCCTAGCTGTTGTAAATAGTGCTAAACAGTCTCGCTTTTTACCTAACTGGTGTGGTGTCTTGGTTTTTGTGAAAAATAGATAGATAATAGGAAGAAAAAGAAATAATAATGAACTCAATGACATACAACATTACTGAGCTTTTACATCCCGAGTACAAGTATTCCTTCTTTTACCACCAGGCAATGTGTTGAGGGGAGGAGATATGATGACCAATCCCATTCTACAAATAAGGAAACTGAGGCATAGAGAGGTGACTTGGTCACGTGTCCAAGGTCTCACAGCAGGACATGGAACAGCCTGACAAGCACCCAGGCAGCCTGACTCCACTGCCTACTCCTACCCTCTGCTCCGCTGCGCGGATGTCAAGACGGTGCCCGCAGCAGCCTCACAGGCAGTCAGGGTGCTGACACCGGGTGGTTTCTCTCTGGCCCATGCAGGGAGCTACTCTTTGTCCGTGCGAGACTACGACCCACAGCACAGGGACACAGTGAAACATTACAAGATCCGCACGCTGGACAATGGGGGTTTCTACATCTCACCCCGGAGCACCTTCGGCAGCCTGCAGGAACTGGTGGCCCACTACAAGAGTGAGTCCTGCGGGGCTGCCTCCCTTCCAGGAGCCCAGCTGGGTGGGCCCCTCTCCTGGGAATGCTAGTCAAGGGGGTGCTGCTGCCTCTGCGGCCTGCTAAGGTTTTCCTCACCCTCCCCCAGACAAACAGTTGCTTTGGATTCTCCTGAAGTCTTTGGTCTGTTGAGCGGGAGGGCAGAGATGCCATCTCACCATGCTCTGTTCTCCTGGGAATATCTTCGATGGAGCGGCCCTTGGGAACCGGGGCCAGATGCAGTGGACCAGGAGGGGAGGCCTGGAGGGGAAGCCTGAGGCTGGCTTGGGGCTGCCTGCCCTCAGCTGACCAGGGGGTTCTGTTCCAGAGGGGAGCGACGGACTCTGCCAGAAGCTGACAGTGCCCTGCATGTCCTCCAAGCCCCAGAAACCTTGGGAGAAAGACGCCTGGGAGATCCCCCGGGAGTCCCTCAAGATGGAGAAGAAACTTGGAGCTGGGCAGTTTGGGGAAGTCTGGATGGGTAAGGACCCAGGGCCAAAGCCAGGAGGGGAGATGGGGGAGAGGGAGGTCCTTGCTTCCAGGAACAGCCCGAGGCCAAGTGGGAATCCCAGCCGGGGCAGAGGGGAGATTTGAATAATAACCGTAAAGGAGTGATTCCTCTGATAGCAAAGCAAATAGTCCTGCCATGCAAACACTGCCATGCAAATCTTTGAGGTCAGGCCTGTTGGGTCAAAAACTTTCTTCTAAGAAGCGGGAGTCCTAGATGAGGAATCTGCTTCCTCATATGGAGCTGGGACAGTCTGGGGTTGAGAACCAGAGCATCTCTTAGAATGATGAGAATTAAGAATGGGAAAGTGTAGCTTGGAGATTTCCAGGTGAGTTCAATGTTGGCAGCTGATGAACACGCTGTTCTAAGACCCTGCCGTGTGCCCACGTCATGCTAGGGCATTGTAGGGCTTCAAAAAGACATATGCCACCCCTGCTGGGCTGCCTCTAATGATTTAAGAATAGCAAAGCCTGCTCTGCAGAACTGTGGGGGTAGACGTGATGCCTGGCCCAGTGCCTGGTGCCCCACACGGTGTTTATACTCCACTATGTTCCAAATGGGAGTGAAGACAGCTTACAGAGATGCAAACAATTCAGCCAGAAAAAAAACAAGTTTAAAATCTACTCACTTCAACTATATATATTGAGAGCCTGCTATGTGTCAGGCACTGAAGAAGAAAAGGTGGCAGAGAAAGTATGGTGAGGAAGGTAAGACAGATCAGACTGATGGAGTTAGAAAACAAACACACACACACACACACACACACACACACACACACACACATATTATGTAAGGCCTTAGGCTCTTACTATACTGCTAGTGCTACTGCTAAGTCACTTCAGTCGTGTCCGACTCTGTGCGACCCCATCCCTGGGATTCTCCATGCAAGAACACTGAAGTGGGTTACCATTTCCTTCTCCAATGCATAAAAGTGAAAAGCGAAAGTGAAGTCCCTCAGTCGTGTCTGACTCTTTGCGACCCCATGGACTGTAGCCTACCAGGCTCCTCCGTCCATGGGATTTTCCAGGCAAGAGTACTGGAGTGGGGTGCCATTGCCTTCTCTGGCTCTTACTATAGGAAGACCTCAACTCTGCATTAGAGCTTCCTGGCAGCCAAGGCAAAAAGGGAAACATGAGCAACACTGAGATTTACAAGAAGAAGAAGATTACAAGATAAAGCAGGGACGGGGTGGGGTGAAGTGAGGGAACAGCATGAGCAAAGTCCCTGTGGTGGGAGGGGGAGATGGCTGCTCGAGGGACTGAATGATATGCAGGTGGGTTGGTGCACAAAAGGCAAGGGTAGAGGTGTTGGTGGATGACAGGCTAAGTGAGCAAGGCCAGTTTATGCAGGGCCTTGTGGACCATGATGAGACATATTCATTTTGAGAGCAGTGTTAAGATTAAATAAACATTTAAAGCAAAGACGGTGTGTATGTGGATGTGTGACAAAACAAAGGTAGGTGTGTGAGTGAGTGACATAATCAGAGTGATGTTTTAATCCCTGAACCCCTGCAGGAGCCTTTGCAGATGAGGAAACCATAGTTCAGAGAGGTTAAGTGACCTGCCCAAGTGCACACAGCTAGGAAGTGGTAGACCGGCCTTCCAACCCACATCTATCTGAGGGCACGTGTCTCCCCTTCCTTCTCTAAGGGCTGAGGTGGGCAGGAAAGGCTCTCTGGAGGAGGCAGGTCTGCAGCCAGGTCTTTGGGGCCTGTGAGGAAAGAGCAGTGGGCCCTGACCACCTTTTCTGCTTCCTGTCCTGCTGCAGCCACCTACAACAAGCACACCAAGGTGGCCGTGAAGACGATGAAGCCCGGGAGCATGTCCGTGGAGTCCTTCCTGGCAGAAGCCAACCTGATGAAGACTCTGCAGCATGACAAGCTGGTGAAGCTGCATGCTGTGGTCACAGAGGAGCCCATCTACATCATCACGGAGTTCATGGCCAAAGGTGCTGTGCGCTGGGAGCTGGGGTACCAATTATGCCTCTTCTGGTCACCTGCAGAGTCAGAGGTGACTCTGACATGGTTCTTTGGCCTTCAAGATGCCCCCAGTCTGGCCAGGAACTCTTTTGACATAAATTCACTGAGCACCTTCATATCTGACTGCCCCACTCTCCTGGTTAAGGAGAGTGAAATCATGTCAGGGGGATGCCAGGAGAAGGGGAGCACATGGACCTCTGGGAGAGGGGGTGGGGCCAGAACCCCTCTGGGTGATAGGAGAAGAGCCTTCTATGGGTTCACCATGAGCCCTTGAGGCTGGGGAGACTCCCTGGACCACCCCCACACACCCCCCTCCCCGACCACCAGCCATCTTTCCTGGGTGGACCAATGCTCCAGGAGACTCAGCAAAGCATTCCTTATGCACTGGCTAGGCATCCTTTCCAGGCTGCTCCTGCACACAGTCCAGGATGTCTCAGGGATATTTTTTTAGGCCATCATTTCTCAATAATGTTCAATTCCTGCCCATTTCTCAACATACAGAAACGTCTCAGATGACATCCATTTAGAAGGATTTGACATCTCAAAGCTTTTATCATTTTCTAAACACAATTATGCCAGCCTTATAAAACCATGGCCCCAGTCCCCCAGGCTCAGAAAGCTGTCTCAATCAAACAACCAGTCTAGCAAGCACAAAGTCATTCTCAAAATGCTCAGATTCTCTTTCTTATATGCTAGGAACAGTAAATAGATACTTTTATTTAAATCCATTACTATGAACCATGTTAACCACTTGTTAAAGTCATGAGAGTAGTAAATGTTGTTCCCCCTACCCCCACACAGGCAGCCTGCTGGACTTCCTGAAAAGTGAAGAAGGTAGCAGGCAGCCACTGCCCAAACTCATCGACTTCTCAGCCCAGGTGAGAGTCTAATGGGGAAGTCGGGGAAGGGGAAGTCAATTATTTATTCAACACATGTTTATTGATTACATGCTATCATAATAACAAAAATAATAGCTAACACATATTGAGTGCTCAGGATAAAAGTATTCTTTTTAACTGTGCCTTCTATGACCCAACTCGGGGCTTTCCTGGTAGTTCAGCTGGTAAAGAATCCACCTGCAATGCAGGAGAGACCCCAGTTTGATTCCTGGGTCAGGAAGATACCCTGGAGAAGGGATAGGCTACCCACTCCAGGATTCTTGGGCTTCCTTGGTGGCTCAGAAGGTAAAGAATCCGCCAGCAAAGTGGGTAGACCTGGGTTCGATCCCTGAGTTGGGAAGATCCCCTGGAGGAGGGCATGGCAACCCACTCCAGTATTCTTGCCTGGAGAATCCCCATGGTCAGAAGAGCCTGGGGGGGCTGCAGTCCCTGGGGCTGCAAGACACCACTGAGTGACTAAGCATGCACACAAGTCCTATCTCATATGGTCTTCACATCAGCCTTCTAGGGTGAGATTTTTGTTGTCTATTCCTTTGTAACCAACTGCTCCAAAGTTTAGTAGCTTGAAACAACAATGTGGGTTGACTGGGATTGGTTGGGTGGTTTTTCTGCTCCACACTGTGAAACCCAGCCCCCTCTTGAGAATGCATCCTGCTGAGAGCTTCCCTGGGGCTAGAATATCTGGGATAGTGGCTCATCCTCTAGGTCTGTCTCCAGTGACTCCACATCACTCATTCAATAGCCTAACCTGAACTCTTTTACATCATGGCAGAAAGATTCCAAGAGGGAGTCTTCCAAGGGACTAAGCCATCATGAGCGAGCTCCTATTCACATTGTGCAGGCTAATGTCCTGTTGGTCAAAGCAAGTCACATGACCTAGCCCAGAGTCAGTGTAGGAGGGACTGCAAAAAGGCGTGAGTCCCAGGAGGCGTGGTTCACAGGGAACCACTGATGTGACAGTCTGGCCACAGGCAGGTAATTGTCACCCCGTTTTACAGAACAGGAAGTTAAGGCTTAGAGAGGAAGTGAAGTGGAGATGAGGCAACTGAGGCCCAGGGAGGTGAAGTAGCTTGCCTACGTGACTGTGTTACTTTGGGGGGATATGGCAGTGAACAAAATGGAAAGTACTGCTATCCCCCTAGGGTTTACACTTATTAAACAACTGAATCTCTTAGAGAGCCACGACCCAAGTAGTCCTGGCTCAGTGTCAAAAGAATGCAGTATCCAGCAAAATTATTAATGTCCAGAAATCACAGAAACACTTCTTAAACCTCCATTTTCTTTCTCATCTTCTTTTCACTTTATAGAGCTCTTCTCACCCCCAGCCTGAGTGCTTTTCACTTCCGTCCTCTGTCAACCATTCTCTCCTGTCTGTGGGAAAACAGGGGAGGAAATGGGTACCGGTGGAAACCCACGACTGGAGCACTTCTCCCAGTCCAGGAGCAATCAAAGAAGGCTTCCTAGAGGAAGCGGTCACTAGGCTGAGGCCTGAATAGAAGTTGGGCAGGTGAAGAGGAGAGATAAGGGTATTCTAGGCAGAAGAAGCAGTCTATGCCAAAGTCCAAAGGGCAAAACCAGAGCTCAACCTGGTCTGTTAGCGCCTGAGCCTGGCAAAAATGAAGAGGGCGTGGCTTGCAGCCTGGAAGGTATTAAGGGAGGGGGCACCTGGGCCCAGGGCGGGGCCTTCAGGAGACCCTAAGGCAGAGCTCATTTGACTATGCAAATCCTGGGAAGGGCATGATAAAAGGCTTTGCCTGTCAGAGTCTTCCAGTACCAGAGGCATATGGAAATCCAGAAGAGGCATTTTCTCTTCAATAAGCCCTACCTCCTGGGGAAGCAGGAGTCTGGCCTGTTGCTAAATTGTAGCCGTCACACTGGCAGAAACCTTGCTGGGAGGAGGGTCACGGACCAGGGCAAGAACAATTCTCCCTATGGTACAAACGGGGAAGACAGAAACCACAGGAGGGAAAGAGGTGCCAGGCCCTTGTGCATCTAGGAGCAGAGGTGGACTCAGAGCCCAGGGACAGAAAGGAGCCAGCCTGGGGTCTGGTCTTCACCTCCGGTCCTAGAGAGGTGGGTGGGTCCAGCAGAGACTGCCTCGTCACCACCTGGCTGTGTAACCTTAAATCCATTCTGGGTCTCTTGGTCCCTCCATTTGTCAAATGAAGGAACTGGACCATCTTTGTGCTTTTCATGTTTGAAAGACTTTTTTTTTTTTTTAGCTGTAACTGTGTTGGTCAAATGAATCTTACGGAGCAGCTGATCACTTTAAAATAGATTAAAACAGAGCTGCTGTGATTGAAGGGGTGACCTTTCTTTTGTCCCTCAGTTAGATTCAGTGTGAAGAGCCCTGAGCTGGAATACCCCTACAGACCCTTCCAGCTGATTCTGTGATTCCCTGGTACTCTCTCAGAAGCAAACCCATGTGCCAATGACTGACATCACGGCAGACCATCTGGTGGTCATGAAATCTCACCACCTCATCAACTCCCAATTTATAGACCAACCCTGAACCCAGCCAACCTATCCACTATTCGTTCAGTTGACAAGCCCTTGAGAAGCAACATGTATACACACGGACTTAGGAATCATATAGAGTTTTACTGTTGAGCCCAGGGCTGCCTGTGTAGTTTTGAGCAAGTAGCTTAATCTTTCTGAGGGCTGCTTTCCTCAACAGGGACTGTTGAATACTTATATGCCAGACTCTATTCTAAACACTTGATATAGGTTTAGAGTATGAATCCTCACACGAACCCTCAGAAGAAGATTCTATTGTCTCATTCTACAGAGAAGAAAAGTGAGGCACAGAGGGGTAAAGTAGTTTACTTGGAGATCACAGAGATGTGGGGCTCAAGTTGAGCTGGCCCAACCCGGGAGTCACCTAGGCATTCTCATCTGCTGTCTTCTAAGTGGGGTTAGTCCCACTTGCCCCCTTGAGCTTATGTGCTCCTGTGCAGATCCATAACATGATATCTGCCCCTGAGTACTGAAAAATGCTAACTTCCAGCGTTAGTGCCTGCTCTGTGCCAAAAATTCAGGTAGGGTAATGGACACAGGCCCTAAGCAGGGCTGTCAGATTTCCAGTCCTGGTCTCCACTTGGACCAAGTAGTTACTTCTCTGGGATTCAGTTTTCTTACCTGTGAAATAATAGTGCTGAAAGCAATAGTCCCTACCCCAAAGCAGAGAGCAAATGCCATTTAAGTATTAAATATCATATTATGATTAATGAATAAGCTACAACGTCCACAGTTAATGTTATGGCTGTTGTTAACTGTTCGTCTGAACTCCTTATAAATTTTCCACACCCATGAGGCCAAGACTGCCTCACCCACTCCTGGCGGGCGATGACAAGCAAAATCAGAAAGTCTCCTGGTTTCGTTAGAAAAGGCTGGAGACTCAGACCTCGGTTCCAATGGCCATGGGTGCCCCCTGCTGGCCACTTTCCACAAGCGTACCATCCACTTGCCTCAGACCTTGAACAGACCTTGGTTTAGTCTGGCCAGACACCCTACCTCCCCAAATAATCTCACCAGATTGCAGCCAGCTGCAGTCCTCCAAAGCGTTGAAGTTCTGGGTGATTAAAGGCAGCATGGAGGCCCTGTGGGTGGAAATTCAAATTCTGGGGGTGTGATCTGACAAAGGTGTCCCTCCTCTGTACACCAGAGACGGTGGTAACACCTGGCTCAAGGACGTCAAAGACCAGTTTATGAACTATAAATGCTATTTTCTGAGTTTCTGAGGGTTAATCATAAACCTCTTTATGAGGGGTAATGCACAAACTCTTGTAAGAGGAAAAAGTCTTTACAGAAAATCCCACATCTTTCCATCGGGCTTCCCAGGTCCCATTGTGAGTAAGAACCCTCCATGCAGTCCATTATGCACTCAGAAGCCCTGGTGACATTAAAATATACATCAGACCATGTCACCGTCCTGCTCCAAGACTTCTCACTTCCCTTCATGCTCAGAATACAACATAACCGCCTCTCCTAACCTACAAGGTTCTTCCCCATCAGCAGCCTCCCCCACAACCTCCGCTCTCCTCCCTACTTTCCCCTGGGCAACTTCTGCTCAACCACCTGTTCCATGAATACCTAAGCTCCTTCCTACCTCCGGGCCTTTGCACATGATGTTTTCTGCCAAGAATGCTCTTATTTGACAGAGCATTTGCTGAAGTTTCACCTCCTGACTATCCAATCCAAAACAGCCCTCTACACTTCATGTCCTAGTGCCTGCTTTCCCCCTTCTTTATGGCTCTTATCACCACATGTGGGGGCTTTGCCTGGCTCCCCATCTGTCCAAGTAACATGTCTAGTGCCCACAAGACACTCAGTAGATGTTTGTTGAATGAATAAAGGAATTTTCCCTACCCAGGCTTGGGAAGTGAAGCAGGCATAAGAGATACAACAAAATGTGATGTGAGCCTAGGTTGTTCCCAGTAAGGGGGTTGGGGATGAAAGCCCTTCAAAGTATCCTGGTGTGTGTGTGTGTGTGTGTGTGTGTGTGTGTGTGTGTGTGTGTGTGTGTGTGTATAGGTCCTGGGAGAAATAATGCTTTTTCCTTAAAGTGTTTTCTGGAAGTCTTGGAACCCTAGAGAAGCTCCAGACTGGCCCAGGCTATGAGGATCCCCCCGACCTGATTAGGTAGACAGAGAAATGCCAATCTGAGACCGGGACCCTCCCACAAAACAAGGGGGAAGGCCAGCGCACGTGTTTTCCAGTTTTCTCACACTTGGACAGCCCTCTTCTGCTTTTGGGTGAGACCCACCTTGGGCGAGACCCACCTTGGGCTGGGCCAAATCTGAGGGTAAGGGTGTCTCTGTTTTGGGTGGAGATCGCAGAAGGCATGGCCTTCATCGAGCGGAGGAACTACATCCACCGAGACCTTCGAGCTGCCAACATCTTGGTGTCTGCGTCCCTGGTGTGCAAGATCGCCGACTTCGGCTTAGCGCGGGTCATCGAGGACAATGAGTACACAGCACGGGAAGGTAGGGGATGGTGTCGAGGGCGCCGTGGGGCCCGCTGGGGTGGGTCGTGTGTGCTGTTAGGACCTGTGAAAGTGGTATTAATAAAAATGCAAAGGTCTGTCCCAGTATCAGCTGTGTGGTATTAAGCTGGAGGGGCTCCATCTTGAGTTTTGGCCTCCAGTCTTCCCCAGTAAGTGGGGTCAATCGTAGATTGGGTCAGTCAAGTCATGTTAAAATTAAGGGTAGGGGCAAGAGCAACTTTAGGTGTGATAGACAAAAACAAAGAGGAATCTAAATGTCCATAAAGAGTAGAATGATATTTAAATTGTGGTTTATTCACAGATTATTATGTAGCAATGAGAAGTTATAAACCAATGACGCAAACGCAAAAGAAAATAGATAACTCTCACAGGCATAATATCAGAATAAGGGAACTCAGACCAAAAAAGTAGATGCTGGATAGTTCCACTTATATAAAATTCAGAAACAGGCAAACATGTATGCGAAGGTTGACAGCAGCATTATTCTTAACAGCCAAAAAGTGGAAGCAATCCAAAAGTCCCTCAACTGATAAACAAATACACAAATGAGATCTAGACATGTGGTGGAATATTATTTGACCACAAAAAGGGATGAAGTACTAATATACCCTAAACATGGACAAACTTTGAAAACATCATGTTCAGTGAAAGAAGCCAGACACAAAGACCATGTATTGTATGATTCTATTTGTATGAAATCCCCAGAACAAGCAAATCTATAGAGACAGAAAGTAGATTAACTCTAGCCGAGGCTGGAATAGGGAGCTAGAAAGAAATGGGTAGTGACTGTTATGGTCTGGGGAAGGGTAGGGTGAAAATATTTTAAAATTCACAACTTTATGACTGTATTAAGAAAACCATTGAACTGAAAGCTTTAAGTGGCTGAATTATATGGTCTGTGCATGCATCTCAATAAAACTTTTTAAAAAAACAGGCAAAACTCATTTATTGTGCTAAAGGTCAGAATAATACTTAACCTGAATTGCAGGGGTGTTGACTGAGATGAGGCAGGAGGGAGCCTTCTGAGATGCTGAGATTTTCTATGTTAATCCAAATGGTGATTACAAGGGGGGATACATATATAAAAGGCATCTAGTTGTATAGGAAAGATTTGTATATTTTATTTCATGTTTGTATGACACAGTAAAAGTGCAACCACTAAAAGAATGAGAATAGAATGTATAATTTCTAAACTAGGAGAGGATAAGCACAAATAAAGAAAACTCTCTCAGTCCCAAGGGAGGAAGGAAACACAGAGAATTTTCAAAACTTGACTATGTACTAGATGATAAAACAGGTCTCAACAAATTCCAAAGAACATGTATCCTTTACACTGCATTCCCAACTACAGTGGAATTACAATAGAAATTACTCACTAAAAGTTAACTCAACCTATCCCAGACTAGATAGAAGGAGAGGAGGACTAGAGGGAGAGACACCCAGTGACTGGGGGAAACCAAAATCTTCCCTTCCCCCACAGAGGTTAAGGGGGTCGAGGTAGCAGGTATGACCTGAACTCAAAGTCCCTTGAAGTTCTGCCATCCCCAAAGATCCTGTGACCTCTAGGACTCCACTCTTCAGGAGTTGTAGTTCACCAGTACATCAGCTGAATCAATGAGGTGGCCCCAAGAGGGCGAGTCCCCTGCCACACCCCAAGTACCTTGGCCCACTCCTCCCTACTTTAGCCACTGGTCCTCAGAATGGATGTTCCTTGCTTCCATGGGGGCCAGATTGAGGAAAGTCACAGTCCTGCAGGGGACAGATGTTGGCAGCTGTACTGATGTCCTGTTCCCTCCCCCTAGCTGAGACCCAGCTCTGACTGCTCCCCAGACTCTCCTTGACTTTGCTCTGTTCAAACCACAGGGGCCAAGTTCCCCATCAAGTGGACAGCTCCTGAAGCCATCAACTTTGGCTCCTTCACCATCAAGTCAGACGTCTGGTCCTTTGGTGTCCTGCTGATGGAGATCGTCACCTATGGCCGAATCCCTTACCCAGGTAAGAGAGAGGGCGTCACCTTGGGGCTGCTTCCAGGGCAGCCTGGCTCCCTTCTCTTGTCATTGTGTCTGTTCAGACTAAGTTTTTGTTTGTTTGTTAGCAAAGTGATTCAGTTATATATATATTAATATAAATTCTTTTCCATTACAGTTTATCATAGGATATTGAAGATAGTTCTCTGTACTATAAAGTATGACCTTATTGTTTATCCATTCTCTACATAAAAGTTTATGTCTGCTCCACCCCATCCTTCCCCCAACTGCCTTCCCCTTGGCAGCCACCAGCCTGAGTTGGTTGCCCTCACTGAGTTCTTGACCTTCACCCCCAGCTTCTCAGTTAATAACACCATTATCTATCCAGTTTCTTAAGCCTGGAATCTGGAAGCCTGCTTGGCCCTTCTCTTCTCTCATCCCTTTCCATGTTCAAAGAGTCACAGGGTTCTAGCTATTGGACTCCAAAGCATCCCAAGTCTGTCCACTTCTAACTCCACAGACTCCACCCACACCAGACCAACGTCCTCCGTCATCTCACTGGTACAGTGGCCTCCTAAGCAGTCTGCCCTCTCTCCTACAGGCCATTCTTCCCCTGAGGCCAGAGGGATTTTTCTAAAATTGTGGATCAGAACTTTTCCCTTCTCCACCTCTAACTTTTTAAAGGCCTCCCAGCATAATTGGGACAAAAATCCCAAACTCCTAACTGTGGCCTGCAGGTCCGGCATGATCCAGCCCCTGCCTACTTCTTCCCTCTCCCTTCATGTCATGCTATACCTCACCACCCAGTCATCTAAAGTACTATACACTTCCCTGTGCTTCTCGTTTGCAATACCCTATGCTTTTTCATTCACAGCATTCATCACTGTTGATAACTATATTTGTTTGATATTTTCTCCATCAAACTCTGGGCTCTGTGAGGCCAGAAATCATGTCTGTATTCCTTACTGGTACATCTGGACTGCCTACCTTTGTGCTTGGCATGTAGTGGGTGCCTAGTAACTATTTGTCAAATGGATGAATTTATCCCCATGCCTGTGGGCAGTACTTCACAGTGAGTAGACTGTGGGGTATACAAAGATATATCTGACATGTAGAGTGCCTGGGACTCAGTAAATAAACTTTTTCTCTGTTCCTTTTCAGTTGGGATGTTTCCTAGGGTATCTGTAGCCAGAACCCTGGGGCAGGAGGCAAGGTGGATATAAAGAGAATTCTGACTTTATAAGTAAATAGTCCTGAACTTTAATCCTGTTCCCATCAACACTTTGAGAAATTCACTTGACTTCTACCCCAGTTCTTCATCTGTAAAAAATATGAAATCAACCACCTTGCAGAAGTGGTTCTGAAAATTAGAAATAAAAGGTGCAGACACTCGGGTCACTCACCAGTATGTATCAAATTCCTACTGTGTGCTGGAGTGTACGGTAGGAGACAAAGCCCTTGTTTGGCAGGAGCTCACATTACAGCCTGAAGGCACACACACTAAATAGATGCACTTCTCAGTGGAGATCACTTGGAACGGAAAATGAAGCAGGGCCATAGGAGACAGAGTGACCTAGGGCTCCTGTGACACGGAGCACTGTCAGAGCAGGTCATATCTGAGCTGAAAGTTAGCGGAGTGAAGATTGGGGAAAGGATTCCAGATAGAAGGCACTGCCAGCTCTTAGGGCCTGAGTTGTATCTGAAGAATATCAAACAAGCAAGGTAGATGGAGACAAGAAATGAGAGCAGATGGTACGTGAAGCGGGGGTTGGCAGGGGCCCAGTCAGGCAGGATCCATGGTCATGGTGAAGACTATGGGTGTTAGTCTATGTGTAAGGAAGCTACTGGAGCATTATAGGCAGGGAAGTGGCATCGTCTGATTTCCACGTGCAAGTGATGCTTTGGTTTAGTGTGGAGAATGGATCAGGGCTGGGGAGATGGTGGGCACTGCAGCTGTGGCACAGATAGTGGTGATGGTGGTAACTGATAAGTTGGTGAGCTGGCGCTGTGTTTTAAAAGAAGAAAGGCTGTGACTTGCTGATGTGGAAGGTGGGGGAGAGAGAAGAATGAAGGATAAGTCTCTTGATTTTGATTGAGCAAATGGATGCCTGATGGTCTAGGAATAAAAATTCAAGAGTTCTGTTTTATCCCTGTCAAATTTGAGGTGGCTTATCCAAGATGTTCAAGGAAGCACTTGCATATATGAATACGTTTGGAGTTCAAGACTAGTAATATAGGACTTCCCTGGTGGTCTGGTGATTAAGACTACCACTTCCAATACAGGGGACAAGGATTCAATCCCTGGCTAGAGAACTAAGGTCCCACATGCCATACAGTATGGCCAAGTAATTTTTTTAAGAAAGACTTGTAATATAAAATTGGGGATCATAGATGTTTAAATGGTTGTTCTTGAGGATAACTAACATAAACTTTAATTGAGCAAAGAAATGTTCCCACTCATAGGGTGATACTGAGTCGGCTACCCGACTTGTTTTATCTTGAGGCTTCACCAATAAAAACCAGGGGGGGAGAGAGGGTATGGAACCCTGTAGGCGGCAAGTAACAAATTAACAGAATGAGTGGTGGAAACAAAAGGTAAATTGTTACAACCCAGACCAAGGAGTCTGGCACTGGAGACAGGTCAGTTCAGCTGCTCAGTGACTCTCAGGTCTCTGGGTTGCTTCCTCTGTGATTGTCTTCCCCATGTGGTCAGATGGCTGCTGCAGCTCCACAGACCACGCTGTGTCACAGTGTCCAAAGGAAGGAGGAAGGGTGGGGCCAAAACTGGGCACCCTGCCCCTGCCCTCACTGCAGGGGAAGTGGGGGAAGGGATGCCTGGCTTGCATCGTGGGAGGAGCTCGGCTCCCATGAGGAGGTGGGGAGGGAAGGTTGTTGGGGAGGCAATGACTATCTGCCAGGCTGACCCCAATCCCTCCCCTTTTAATTCCGTGGCTCCTTCTCAGGGATGTCAAACCCCGAGGTGATCCGTGCACTGGAGCGTGGGTACCGGATGCCTCGACCAGACAACTGCCCGGAAGAGCTCTACAACATCATGACTCGCTGCTGGAAGAACCGACCCGAGGAACGGCCCACCTTTGAATACATCCAGAGTGTGCTGGATGACTTCTACACGGCCACTGAGAGCCAGTACCAACAGCAGCCGTGATGGGGGTGGCCAGGCGGGGCCAGGCGCTGAGGCCATGCCTGCGTGGTGGCTCCTGGTGCCCGCTCACCCTTCCTATTCTCAGACACCCACCCTCCCTCCAGCCGTAATTCCTCATCTGCCAAGTGGGTGGGTCGGACTGGACACTCTGTTTTTGACTCTGGAGATCCACAATCTGCAATTCTCAGGACACCTCCAGTTGACATTTCTATTGCCTGGGACAGCTGGATTCTAGTTACTGCTGCAGTTTGGATAGAAAACTTTAAAAATGATTAAATAAATATTTAAATAAAAGATCTGACTGCTAAAGGTTTTACTAATAGGTTAGCTTTTCTTGTCTTGCCGGTTTTGGAACATTTGCCTTTTGGTGGATGACAAGTCAAAGGGGGAAGGACTGGTGAAGAGAAGTGGGGTTCAATGCTCCCAGTTTTCTAACTGCCCCCGAATACTTGCTGGCTGTATTACTTGCCTATGGCTTCTGTAACGAATTAGCACAAACTTGGTGGCTTGAAACAAAACAAATGTACAGTTCCAGAGGTCAGAGTCTGAGATGGGTTGGCAGGGCTGGGTGCTTTCTGGAGGCTCTAGGGGAGAATCATTCCCTTGCCTTTTCCAGCTTCTAGAAGCTGCCCACATTCCTGGTTCCCTTCTGCTCATCACTCCAAATTCTGTTTCCATCATCACATGTCCTTCTCTGACTCTGACTCTGAGGCCTCCCTGTGTTACTTGTCAGAACCCCTGTAGTTATACTAGACTCACCTGGATAAGCTTCGCTGATAGCTCAGCTGGTAAAAAATCCGCCTGCAATGAAGGAGACCCCGGCTCAGTCACTGGGTTGGGAAGATCTGCTGGAGAAGGGATAGGCTAACCACATCAGTATTCTTGGGCTTCCCTTGTGGCTCAGCTGGTAAAGAATTCGCCTGCAATTTGGGAGACCTGGGTTCGATCCCTGGAGAAGGGAATGGCTACCCACTCCAGTTTTCTGGCATGGAGAATTCCATGGACTATATAGTCTATGGGGTCTGTATTAACAGTCAGACACAACTGAGCGACTTTCACTTTCACCTGGATAATGCAGGCTAATTTTCCCATCTTCAGTTTCTTAATCACATTTGTAAAGTCCCATTTGCCACACCAGATAACATCTTCGCAAGTTCCAGGAATTAGGAAGTGGACATCTTTTTTTTTTTTTTTTTTTGAGGGGGACAATTATTCACCTGTCACACTGGATGGGTTTTTGTCTCCAAGGAGCTGCATGTGCCAGGATGACAGGAATGACTTTACATGATCTGGGACAATGACTCTCCAGCCAAGCCATGTTTTTATGCAAGTTGGTTGGTCTGGATCTCCCCCAGGGCTGGGGGCTGCCTATAGCCCCTGCATTTCCCATGGTCCAGCAAGCCATCACGGTTGTGATGGAATCCTACAGTCCTACAGTGGAAACGTGGCTCCTGAGAAGTATCTGCTACGCTGAGTGGGAAGCTCTCAGAGGAGGGGAGGGGTGGGGGGAGAGGTAAGAAGGGGGCAGAGAAGACAAGGAGGCAGCGGGGCCTTCCTGCCTGTTGTCTTAGTTGAAAGTCCCCAGTGGTTAGCCTTGCTGTAGAGGGAGTGATAGGAAGAGTTGGGCCATGGGATGGGGAGCAAGTGACACCCTTCTGTATTCTTGTATCTCCTGATACAAGATTCTTGTATCTCTTGTATCTCTCTTGTTTCTCTTGCACCCACCAGAGTCTCATGGAACCCTATACCGACTTGATTTTGTACTCCTGAGTAGCACCAAGTCTAACCTTAGGCACTCTGTGTAAGAACAGTGGAAAATAAAGTGTTTTAACTTATGTAGTTTATACCTGAATTTCTCTCTTGCTTCCTGGTTTGGGAACTTGTCTTTGGGTCTCTGAAAACAGTGCCCAGGGTCCTGTGATAGGAATTTGCAAACATGATTGGTGGCATATTAGATTGCTGTTTGATAATCCGTAAGAGGAGTTTACATCCCTCCCTGCCCCACTGATGTTGAGTTTGGCCATGGACTTGTTTTAGCCAATGGGATATTAGCAGATATGATTAAGCAAAGGCTAGAAATGTGCTTGTGTGGCGAGGCTTGCCCTCCAGCCTTTTGACCTGAAATGAACAAAGTCCAATGAAGATGAGCGACATGTGGAAAAGATCTGGACCCAACCTGCAGCTTGGATTTAAACCCAGCTGAGCACATCCTTGATCAACTGAAACCCAGCTGTCCTATGGACATATGAGAGAGAAAGAAACACTTATTATTCTAAGCCTTTGAGTTCTGGGGTTGTTTTATTATGTGGCCTTATTATAGAAATATATGACTGAGACATGATCTCAAAAGGCAAAATCTAAATGGACGAGATCAAGGGATCAATTCCTGCCCACCTACTCTTTCCATTTACACTGCCCTCTGAACCCCACTAGCCTACACTCTGATTTATCCCTTTGGTCACAGCAAAGACTGATTAAAACATAGGGGCAGGCACAGCACCAAAAGTATTCTCCATGAAAGAAAAAAACTGATAAATTGGAATTTATTAAAATTAAAACTCTGCTCTAAAACATTTAAAGAAAACAAAAAGCTCCAGTCTGGGAGAAAATATTTGCAAAACATGTATCCGATAAAGGGACTGATAGCCAAAATATAGAAAGAATTCTTTAAAAATTCAACAATACGGAAACAAACAACCCAATTTAAAAAGTGGGGAAAAGACCTAAACAGGCACCTCAAGAAGAAGATAACCAGATGGAAAATAAGCATATGAAAGATGCTTAACATCATATGTCATTAGAGAAATGCAAATGAAAATAACTGAATGCAATACCACTACACTCCTATCAGAATGGTTAAAATCCAGAATACTGACACCACCAAATGCTGGCAAGGCTGTGGAGCATGGGAACTCTGATTCATTGCTGGTGGGAATGCAAAATAGTACAGCCACTTTAGATGACATTTGTCTGTTTCTTACAAAACAAGTATAGTCTTACCATACAATCCAGCAACTGCACTCCTTGGTACTTACCCAAATGAGTTTCTAACTTATGTCCAAACAAAAATCTGCACAGAGGTCTGTAGCAGTTTTATTTATAATTGCCAAAACTTGGCAGCCACCAAAATATCCTTTAATAGGTTCCATTCTTCCATCCATATAATGGACTATTGCTCAGTGATAAAAAGAAATGAGCTATCAAGACATGGTAGAAACTTAAATGCATACTGCTAAATGAAAGAAGTTGATCTAAAAAGACTACATACTGTATTCCAACAATGTGACATTGTAGAAATGGTAAAACTATAGAGACAGTAAAGAGGTCAGGGGTTTGGTAGGGAACAAGGGAGGGATGAGGAGGGGAACATAGTGGATTTTAGGGCAGTGAAAGAAACTATTCTGTATGATACTCTTAATGGTGAATACATATCACTGTAAACTCTTGATGAAAGTGAAAGAGGAGAGTGAAAAGCTTGGCTTAAAGCTCAACATTCAGAAAACTAAGATCATGGCATCCAATCCCATCACTTCATGGCAAATAGATGGGGAAACAGTGGAAACAGTGGCTGACTTTATTTTGGGGGGCTCCAAAATCACTGCAGATGATGATTGCAGCCATGATACTAAAAGATGCTTACTCCTTGGAAGGAAAGTTATGACCAACCTAGACAGCATATTAAAAAGCAGAGACATTACTTTGTCAACAAAGGTCCATCTAGTCAAGGCTATGGTTTTCCAGTAGTCATGTATGGATGTGAGAGTTGGACTATAAAGAAAGCTGAGCGCTGAAGAATTGATGCTTTTTAACTGTGGTGTTGGAGAAGACTCTTGAGAATCCCTTGGACTGCAAGGAGATCCAACCAGTCCATCCTAAAGGAGATCAGTCCTGGGTGTTTATTGGAAGGACTAATGTTGAAGCTGAAATTCCAATACTTTGGCCACCTGATGCGAAGGGCTGACTCATTTCAAAAGACCCTGATGTTGGGAAAGATTGAGGGCAGGAGGAGAAGGGGATGACAGAGGATGAGATGATTGGATGGCATCACCGACTCAATGGACATGAGTTTGGGTAAACTCCGGGAGTTGGTGATGGACAGGGGGGCCTGGCATGCTGCGGTTCATGGGGTCACAGGGAGTCGGACACGGCTGAGTGACTGAACTGAACTGAACAGATAAACACTTCAAAACTCATAGAAAGTATCGCACAAAGAGTGAAACCTCATGTAAACTATTGACTTTGGTTAATAATAATGTATCACTATTGGGTCTTCAAAGGTAACATATGTACCCCACTGAGACAACATATTAATAACAGGGGATGGGGGGCTGGATGAGGGAGTATACATGAACTCTATACTCAGTCTTCTGTAAACATAAAACTTATCTAAAATGAAATTCTATTAATTAAATAAATATGAGGATAGATTCTGGGACACCAATTTTATAGGAAAACTGCATGCACTCCTCCCCGGAAGATGTCAAAGAAGGCATAGGTAAGATGCCCTTTCTAAGACATTATTAACTTGCTTATATTTTCTCTAGTTGTAGCTTTGAGTTTAAATATAGAAAAAGCACTTGTTTCCCCTTGTGATTTGTAAAACTGCCTCTCCTCATTCCCCTACCTGGGCCCTCAATTTTGTCATGGATGTGTCCTCATCACAATAGGTTCTACTATAAGGCTCTTTCAGTTTTCATTCTATTTGCATGCTTTCCCTTTCTGAGGTTGGCAAAGACTGTTGGTTGTCCCCATATCTTATCCATGTTCCCCCTACTGCTAGAGAAATAGAATTTTCTCAGGGACACAATTCCCTAGAATGAAGATTACATTTCCTACTCTTGCAGCAAAGTATGGTAGTGTGATTAAGTTATGATCAATGGGTTGTAAGTGGAAGCGCGGTGTAGCATCTTCCAAAATCCTTTCTTAAAAGACAACTAACGTGGGCTCTTCACCTCTTATTTTTCATCTCTTCCTCTTTTTGCCTAGAATGTACATGTGAAGGCTGGAGCTCTAGCTGCCACCATGGACTCTGATGAAAATGAATTAATTCTAGTGATGGCAAAGCTGTGTGAAGCCTGAATCCCTGAAGATATTTGAGGCACAGCCACCATATTAGCTAAGACAGTCTTCCCTAGACTTTTCACCTTGGAGGGTGTGACACGCACTGTTGGTATCCTTACAATGGACTGAACTTCTAGCTGTTGTTATCTGCGTCACTGTGCCTGAGAACTCTTTTCTAAAACTGCAAAAAGCCTCACCTTCCAGTGTTCCCAGAAGGCCAAAAGTACCAAGGAATTAACACCCTGTGGGATCAGTCCAAAACTAATGACCTGTTCTCTCACCCTCTGGGTAGGATAACTCTGAGGTGTGTGTTTTGCATTGTTTCCCAAAGTTTCCCCACAAGATTAAGCTTGTTAGTCACAATGGTAACTTGCTTGACAACATATGCTCTTTAAGTATAGTTCCAAGTATTCATTCCAATGAAAGTGGGTTGACAATGTCATGTATATTCATGAATCAGATGAACATGAAATAATGAAGGCATTCATATGTCAGAACTTCACTTGCTAGTCAATGATACGAGCAACTTCTTTTTCTTTTTGGTTGGAGTACAGCTGCTTTACAATGTTGTGTTATTTTTTTTTTACTGTATAGCAAAGTGAATCAGCCATGCATACATATGTATTCCCTCTTTTTTTTGGATTTTCTATCCATTTAGGTCACCACAGAGGATTGACTAGTTAGAAAACTGTTATTCTAGGATACATGTACCCCAATCTTCACAGCAGCACTATTTACAATAGATAGGACATGGAAGCAATGTAAATGTCCATCAGC